AAAATAATTATATATATATATATATATATATAGTTAAAAATAATTTTAATTATATATATAGTTAAAATTATTTTGTATATTTCTTCATTAAAATAATTACTTATGAATACGAATACACTGATCTTGATGACCTTGTGTCGCAATCATTACATCAGCTTCATCTAAAACAAAAACTGATATTTTACTTAGACTGAAGAATTTAAATTTAAAAGCCCAATCTAAAACTTTTCCTGGTGTTCCAATGATAATATGTTCTGTAACTTTTGTTCCTCGACTTACTGAAATAATGAAAAATATTTAAATAAATTTTTATTCAAAAAGAATAGATATATGTGATAATTATTTTTACTATATATTACTTTCTTCTCCTCTTACAGCATATTTTATTTTTATTTCATTACAAAATGCAGACATTTTTGCTGCTACTTCTCCTGTTTGTATAGCTAATTCATAAGTTGGTGATAAACAAAGTACTTGAGGATAATTTTTGGTAGTATCTACTCTACTGAGCATTGCTAATACAAATGCTGCTGTTTTTCCAGTTCCAGATTGTGACTGAGCAATCATATTTTGAGGTCTATAAACAAATTATTAGGAACTTTATATTATAATATTAATATAGCATTTATTGAATATTTTTATATTAAAAAACTTACGGATCAGCTAATAAAGTAGGTAATGCAGTTTCTTGAATTTTTGATGGTGCATTAAATCCCATTGCATATACTCCTTTTAACAAAGCTGGTTTGCTATAATATATATTATAATATATAATCTTTTTTAAAATTATTACAAGATAAAAAAAATAATAATTAAAAATACCAACAGATGAAGAGCATCAAAGGATTTGACACTATATAAAGGTGATGATGGATCTTTTCTTTGAATTTCTATATCTTTTGTTGTTTCTACTAAACCTCTACGTATAATTTTTTGGAGTAATGATTTTTCTGCAGGTGATATTTGTTCATCCGCTACATCATCATCTTTGGAATCTGTATTTGTTGTATTTTCTTTAAGCTCTTTATCTATATTTAAATTGGAAACCTAATAATCATTATAATATGTCATTAGTATAATAAAGAAAGTAAAGATAACAAAAATATTTTATTATAAAAAAGACTTAAAATTATTATTCTATATAGATTTAATATGATTTAATTATTGAATAAATATAATTAAAATAATTAAAAAATTAAAAAATAAAATATTAAAAAAAAATAATAAACAATAATGAACAAACGAAAATGAGGTTAAGCCGGTGATATATACATATGACAAGAACATTACCTTCGCTGATAATTTTTCTTGCTCATCTACGTATTTACCCCAGTCAAGTTCAGTCGAAGCCATATTAACATCGATACATTCGCAATAATTAAGAAATTAATTTTAATTTTAATTAGAATACTAAAATGACACACTTATTCGTCGTGATGCTCTAACTAATGTAGCGTCACGGTACGGCATAAACAATAACTAAGATATAAATATTTTTTAAAAATGAAATTAAAATTGCTATATTTATAAAAAATGAAAAATTAGTATTCTAAAAGTCTCAAATCTCTCATTATTTTAATTGTTAATTAATAACTTCGAAAAAGTCATTAAATAAAAAGTTTGAAAAGTTTTTAATCTAGTAATTATTGAACCTTTAATTAAAAATAATTTTTTTAATCGTAGAAATGAATAAATCTAAATCTTAAATAAAAATAACAAAAAAATTAAACATATAACAAAAATTAAACATATTGTGTAAAATTAGTTTTCATTTAATTTTAATTGTATATGAATATAATACTCTTACTAATAAAGAAGATAACTTTTTTAGTTATTGTTATAGTTTTAATTTAATCATTACTATTAAAAAAAAGAATAATATATTTTTAAAAACACTTATATATTTATAATTCTTCATGAATTTATTGTTCAATATATATTTTACTTAAAATTTAAGAAGTTATATACTTCGTTTATTTTAAAAATTATATAAAATAACTTTATATGATTTATTTATAATTTTATTTTATTTTTTTCAGTATATCAAATAATGAATATCTTCTACTTAACAATATTTATTTTTTAAAATTAAATATTGAAAAAAGCACATTACATTGAAATTTCATACTAATAAATGAATTAATAATATTTATAGTAAAATTGAAAAAAATAATTTAATATAGATTATGTTAAATATAAAAAATATGATGTAATTATTAATTCTTTATAATTAAAAATATCTGATGTATGTATAATTTAAACAAATATATAATATATTATAATTGTAAAGTAATCTAATTTACCTTTAATTTTATGTATACATAGGTATTAGTGTAATAATATTACCATAAGATAGTCTTTGGTAGATATATTATTTTAAATAGTCTTAATTTAAAATACCATACATTGTAAATGTAATTTATATTTTATATAATGACACATGTATGTTCCTGCATTTAAAATTACAAATTTACCAACTTAGCATATATACTGTGTAGTAAATGATAGTATTTAAATGCACAATATATTATTAGATACTATTATGTGTATTTTTATACGAAATATACATTTCATTTGACATATATACAAATTAAACTGTTAAGTTTATCTACCTTTGTTTATAAAGGCATATAATACAGTTTATTTGCAGCCAAAAATATTTTTTGCTACTTCTTAGATAATATATATTTTAAATGAAAATTATGTGTAAAATTTGAAATGCATGTATTCATATATAGGCTGCTTTAGTAAAATAAAATGTCGTTACTTTTAATCACGAACATGAACATACTATATATTTTTCTTCCTTTTTTTATCGAAATACGCTAAATTAGATGTGATTAATATTTCTGTTAAGAAACTTTCACAACTGTGTAGTCGTGGTCTTAGTTCCGTTCGATTGCGGTACAAGGCGAACAGTTATCAGCGAAAGGTCTAGCATTTTACGCTGGTATTTCTTGTGAAACACCATAGCAGCAGACTGCGTCTTAAACACAATCGTTGCGCTGCGCTCACCCATTTGTATGCTCTATAACATGAATAAAATATAAACAGATAATTATTAAATCAAGATAAACATTTTTAAAAAAAGTCAAGTATGATTATATTTTTTACAATATTATTAAAAACATGATAATAAATCAAGCAATAACATTTAAAATAAATATTTTTTAAATATATAAATTATATTCATATAAATAATTTATACTATATAGAAAATATCAAATAATGTATTAAAATATAATAATGTATAAATTCTGTATCTTTTTACTATATTTATATAATTTTAATTTATAAATATATTTATATAATTATGTTTATTTATAAATATAATTTTTTAACTTTCAGATTATTGAAGGTATTTTTCAAAATAGAATTAATTATTATATAATATTAACTGTACTTATATAATAAGGAAAACACAATGATTATTATTAAATGAAAATAATTATTTTTATTTTATTGCGATATGTATTATTAACTATTAAATAAATACAAAATGATGTTGGGATAATAAAACTTTAAATTACATCAATATGAATTTGCTATTCATATTATTTATATTAAACAAAATAAATGTGTACAATAAAAAAAGCGCATGTATTAGAAAATATGAATCAATACAAAATTTTGAACAATTGTATCATTACAAAATGATTTCCTCAAGAAAAAAAATTATAAGCAATATTGTTATCAATAGAAATATAATTCAGGATTCATTAATAATCATAAATATTAACTAAAATCATGTAATTTTAATAATTTTATATAATTACGAAAGTAATTATTGAATTAAAACAATAAAAAAAAAAACATGCTAAAAAACTTATGTTGTATATTATTATCAAAAAACGAAAAATATTAAATTTATAATTTATAAAAATAAAATAACTGAAAAAAAGCTTTCAAAATTTGCAACAAAAATTAGAGTTTTAAACATTTTTATGCAAAGATAGTCACCTCAATTGTTCCAATGCCTTGACACATACGTCTAATTTGTGCTTCAGATGTACTTGCTGCTAAATTTTCTACTTTCACAGTATTCGTCTTTATTTCTGGTAATTTTTTTGTTGTATTGGTGTTTTTTGAAGTACAACTCTTTGGTTACTTTGAGTATTAACGACAACCTTTTGTGCATTAGTATTTGTTACTTCTTGTATATTAATCACAGTTTTCTGGAGATTTCCTGGTGATTTTTGCCTAACAATTCTCTGTGAACTACCAACTTTTTGTCCAGCAATAGCCATTTTTCTTAATACATCAGTTTGAGTTTGGCCAATTCTTTGAGTTGAACATTGAGTATTAACTATTTTGTTTTGCATCAGTAGTTGACCTTTCTGCAAATTCGATATCGTTTTTTGTATAGTTGTGGCAACCTTCTGCGTATTTGATAACGGTTTTTGAATTACGATTCTTCGAGTTCCAGATTGAGAATTTAATACTTTTGTATGTTCATTTACTTGATTAATTATATGTCCAGAATTACTGTCTTTTGTAGAATCTATAGAATCATTGGATTGTATAGTTTGTATTGTTCTAACAATTCGTACACACGATGGCTTCTCGGGAACCTATAAAAAAAATAATTATTATATAATTTAAGTTATATATTTTACAGTTTTTTAATCCATCATAATTCATAAAAAAATAAGTAAAGAAAAACATTAATATTTTAATACTGATTAACATTTGAATAAATTAATAATTAAAATAAAAAATTGTTTAATAAGATTAATATTTTATTTTAAAAATTGTATTTAACAATATAATAAAATATTTTTAATATAGAAAGATTTTAATAAGAAATAACAAAAATTTGAAGGAAATTAAAAAGAACAAAAAGTATTTAAAAATACATTTTATTGAAATATGAATAAAAAATATACAGAAAGTCTCATAGACATATATGTATATATTTTTTTCATTTAAAACATATAAATTATTATTTAAATGATGGTAATTAAAAACGATACTTTTCATGAATAATTAAAAAGTATATATCACTATATCTTAATGAATAAAGAAAATTGTTAACTTGATAGTTATTGCAACAACTGATTTTTATATATAATATATTTAAAATATATATGAATATCATTTTAATAATATAAATAATTAAAATTCTATATTCAGATATAAATATATTTATGCAATTTATATATTTTGTGCATTAAGCATAAATTGCTTATAAAATATAAGAAGAAATCAAATTTGTTAATCATACTAACTAAAAAATATATATTTAAAAAAAAATTATATTCATTTCTCATTCTATGTACAATTAAAAAAGTACAACATGTTTAATCATGTACCTCTGTAGATTGTGTATTGATAGGACGAGTTATTCGTCCTCTTCCAACATTAGTATGTCCTTTGATCATAGAAGTATCTTTTACTACTCCCAGAAGTGCTGATACAGGTTTTGTATCTTGTGCATTTTCATTTACTAAAAAGTAAATTATATTAATTATGTACATAAATAAATAATCCTTAAATCATTATTATTGATTTTATTGAACTAATTGTAATTCAACACGTATAGAATACACAGAATGTGTATATATGAATTTTGTTAAACTTATTTATTTATTTTAATATTTTTAATTATTGAAGATTTATTTAAAATAATTTTGTCAAAATAAACAATTTATCAAATTGTTGATATTTCATCATACATACATGTATTACTTTCGTTTTTAGATTCATCATTTTGTTTCTCCATTGCAGCCATTTTTCGTCGATTTTCCTTTTCACGCAGGATTTTTTCTCTAAGCCGCTTTTGTTCCTCCATTTTTTTTCTATATTCTTGCATTTCTGGATCATTTTCTTCGTCCTAAAAAGATTTGTTTTAAAGAAATATATAACATATTAATTAAGAAAAAATAAAATTTGAATTTATACCTTTTTATCATTATTCGTATTGTTTAAAGTATCTACAGTTCGCACTTCTTGAAGATTTCTATTACTAAGTTTTATTCGTTTTGGGCTCAAATCACGTAAAGGTCTATCTATAGAATCGGAAACTCTTTTCTGCGGTAATCTACTTCTTATTGAAGTATTCACTGGTCTATTATTAGACTTTTGTACATGATTTTGATCATAATTTTCGCGATATGTGGTTGAGCAAGTTCTATTTTTCGAAACGTGATCATTTCTGGTTTTTGATGACAAATCTCTATCGCGATAATTTTGATGAACTCCTCTGTGATCCTAAGATGAATGTCTTTCTCAAAAACTTAATAATTTTTTTTATTATTAAGATAATTAAAATTAATAATTTATATATTACTAACCTGTGAATAATTATTTTTCTGATCCCACTGATCTGATTTATATTTTAAACTGGATTCATAATTACCATCTCGTAGATAATTATTTTCTAAAGGATACTGTTTATTTGGAGTTCCAGTTTGATTCTTTTGTGACTTATTTTCTTGCCATACATCAGAAAAGTATGCATAGGGATCCTACGATAAGTTTCATAATTATTATTCATCCAATATTTAATGAAATTATACATTTAACAATATTATGCTTTTACATATAATACATACATCACTCTTATTTTGTTGATAATTTTGTTGATAATGTGGAGGTCCTTGTTGAGTTTGATTATATGAACTTTGACTTTGATAAGGAATAACGGGTTGTGAAAACTGACCAGTAGGAATTTGAGATGACAAATTGGGAGTTTGTTGTTGAGTGGAATCCCATGCAAGTCTTGCTATTTGCATATTAAATTTAAAAAAGTATCAATAAAATGAAGAAATCAATATATAAAATTATATATTTAATCGATAAAATTTAACGAAAACTAACAATTATTAATAAAACTTACCATCATTCGTTGACTGAACGGCTCCTCGAAAGTGAGGATTGATTAAAATCTTGTGCCCTGGAGGTAAAGGTACATTGGGTACATTGGAAGTGGATTGTTGTGGTACAGGTAACGTATTAGTATTAAATTGACTAGTAGGTACTTGATCGGAATAGCCGGACCTCGAATCATAAACAGGTCGGTTTTCAAATTGAGCTGCTTCTTGAAAAGGTGGTCTATTCTCGAAGAGCGATTGATTTGGTATTTGATTGACATTAGGATGATTGATAAGTGGCCCCTGAGAAGAAGCTTGTCGTGGAAATCCTTGCATAGGTAATGGTTGGTTACTCTGTAACAATGGTGCTGAAGTTCCAGATACCACTGAACTGAGATTTCCAAGGAGTGATCCGGTATTTCCTTGCAACAATGGAGCTTGATTGTTTTGTATAAGCCGTGTTTGATTATCTTGCATAAGAGTAGCTGAACTTTGAAAAGGTGTTGTAGCTGCACTTGGTGCTGGTTGAATTTGAACATACGGTGGTTGATTCGATGGATGGTTGTAAGGTGGTCCTTGTAACGATCCTGGTAAACCTGCTCGAGATCCATAATCTAATCTTGGTCCAATTATTCTAGGACCTACTTGACTTTGAAATTGGTTAGGATTGAATTGCGGTCTATTATCTACAAAATGCGATGGACCTTGGAGCGAACCATTCGGAGAATAATGTTGAAAAGGTTGTACTTGAGAATTTTGTTGTTGATAAATAATTTGTTGATTTTGCATATTGTTTGGTACTCCGAGAAGAAAGGGTGGTCGTGTCTCAAGCAAAGGTGGTCTGCACGTCGGTGGTGGTTGATTATCGAAATTTGCATTGCGTGCATTACCAAACCTGATAAATTATGTTTTAAAAATGATTAACTACACTTTCTAATAAATGTTGCAATATTCTAATTAATATCACTATATAATCATTATGTATCTCGAAAATTGCAAGAATTGCGCGTACCTTGGATTAAAATTTCCCGAATTTTGTACATTAAATCTTCCTCCGCGACTTCCTCTTGTACTTCGACCTCTTCCACGGCCTCTAGACGCTAACTTGGATGGTTCAGATGTTACCACATTTTCTAAGGTATCTGGTATATGATTATTCATTTTTGAAGAAACAGTAGTTCTCTCATTTTGAAACCTGTTTCTTCTTTCTTTAGCTTCTTCGCATTCATCGTCTTCCAATCCTTGTCCATTTCCAGAATAAATCTTTGCATTTTTTTGTAGCTTCTCTCGTAGATCTCCCTTTTCAATATTACTCGACATATTAATACTATCGATTGCAGAATTACGTTCATCGTGTTGTCGCGTTTGCTCGCTTTTATATTCATTAATTTTCTCTTGTTCGTAATATTTTGACTGAACCTCTAGTTGGTCTCCATCGTCATAATAATCATTATCGTTTCTTCTATCAGTTTTGCTTCTACTAAATTCTATGTTTTCATCTTCACCATCTAAGTCGTCGAGTGCGTCGGTTACTCCTAAGTCCAGTACATCATCTGTTTCCTCTTCTCCCTTATAGCTATTCTGCTGCTCAGGGAATTAAATTGCCAAATATTTGTAATGAAAATATAATATTTAGCCGTAGTTGTTACAATCTACTCTTAATTAATTGTATTTTTATCAATACGTAAAAAGTTATTCTTTCATAATTAAAACGAAGATATCGCATAATATATAGATTTTGTTTCGCAAAATTAGTTTTTTTTTTTTTTATTTCTATCAATTTATCTTTCTTCTTATGAATTTTCTTAATTATTAGTAATCACTAATAATAAAATTTATACGGCAAAATTTAATCGCAAATATCTCGATAAATTTCATTGTTATATTCATGCAAATATTATAACAAACAATCAATTAGAACAGTAAAATATTATTTTCTAAACAAATGAAACGATATATCTGATATCTCGCAATACGCAATATGTTACAATTCCAGACTACAGCAGCATGATGTATTATAATTCAATTATATTTTCATTATGCATTATTTTACATAACATGTGCATATATATATATATATATATATATATATATCATATAATATCATATAAGATATATATACATGTATATAGTATATAATTATTTTTTAATCTTATTTTTCATAAATTATATTAGATATTTTTTTAAGTTTGAATTTTTTAATTTTTTAAATATTTCATGCTACTGCTTTTTTTTATGAAAATGAAAATAGATACATGACTTTAAATACTATACGAATTGATATGTAGTATCAAAAGAAAATGTGATAGTGTTACGATTATTCAGAAAAACGAATAACATTACCTTCTTACAATATCATTTATCATGACGATCAAATTTGACATTTTTTTTTTTTTTAACATAACAAATGAATGTTTTAATGAAATTAACATCATGCAAACTTCATTAAGAAAAAGAAATTCGGAATATTGAAATATATTTAGAGAATATTGTTTTTAATTTTTAATATATATTATAAAACAATAATTATATAATTATATTTTATTTTTTAAGAAATTTACATATAATTTTCTTTCTAAATAAAAAATTAATTACTATTATCATATGAAATTGAAATTTTAAATATAATTTCAAGAAATTTATAAAAATATGTATGTATTATAATTTATAATTATTTTATTATATAAAAAAAAAACTTTCATTAAAACATTCTCTATATGTCTGTAATTTGTAGTAATATTTAAATATATACATTATATATTACAAAACTCAATAATACTTTAAATAGTAATTTATAGAAAAACTACAAACACATTACTGGCACATTGACAGATTTGTATAATATTACTGCTTCAATTATTTTAATTATTAACATTAATGCTGCTTACAGTATCTAATAATTGTTTAACAAACAGGGAAAAGGAAATATAATAAATATAAATAACATAACAAATTAGGAAATATTAATACATAAAAATTTTTCATAATGGTCTAAAATTTAATAAAATTATTTATTAAATTTTAAATAATAAATAAAATACAAAAAAAAATAATACAAAGGATAGAAATTGTTTGTAACTATATTAAACTATATTATATATATAATGAACATGAAGAATAAATATCAATAGATTATCTTTCATTTTCCCTGTGTAAATTATGTTTTATTAAACATGTTCTTTTTTTCCTCACAGTTTTCACAATTTTTCCTTTGTTCACAATTTTTTGCATATTATCATAAAACTGAAAAATTTCACAGAAAATTATATAAGCTAGCAAATAATATGCAATGTCTGTATTATTTATTACAAAATTTTTGCTTATGCAAAAATGTTTAATAATTTTCACGCATTTACTTTAAACTTTGAATACAATTTCTTATAATAAGCATATCATATTTACGCTTACAATTTTGTAAAATATTTATTAATTTCTAAAAGTTTCAAATTTTTTAATCAAAATATATCTTTGTTTAGTAATATATGTAATTGATTTTGGTTATTATTATTTTGGTTATTTAAATAGATCGCTTTAATAAACATCACATATATAAAGTGATTCTATACATTAGCAAATAATATTTTGTGCCTAAAACAATTCTATTACACAATCAAGAATATGTAACATTAAGTTACAATTTTAAATTTCTTTATCTTAATTATAATACACAAAGTAAGTAAGAAAGAACTAAGTTCTTGCTTGCTGAAATATATTATTTATAGAATACATAGAAAGTATATAATCTGTTACAAAAACAAATTAATATATTTATAATGTATTGTACGCACGCACGCGTATATATGAATTACTTTTCATAAAGTTTAGGAAAATGATTAGAAAATTCATAGTAGTAATAGTCAATAATTTATAGTTTACAATTCTCAAATTCATTTTAATTAATGATAATATCTTGATCAGAAGTATTATGTTATAACAAAAATGAATCAAAAAATTTCATATTTTTTTTAACTGAATTAAAATTTTTTAAATATTTGATATTAAATTTGAATATTATATTATATGATGATACATAATGGTGAACTAATTTTCATTTAACAACAAAATAATGGTCCAGCAATATGCTCACCCTCTCCAATTCATAGTCATCTGCTAAAAGAGCCTCTTCTTCATCATTGCCTAGATCATATTCATCATCTCCGAGATCTTCATCCAACAATGTATCATCACTAAAATAACAAATAATTATAAAAAATATATTATAAATAATCAAAGTTACAATTATATTATTAGTCAATTTTTTTATAATAAATTAATAATACAAAACTAATACAAATTTAAATTATTCATATAAATATTAATATATAATATAAAATTAGCAATTTTTAAATATTATTATATAATAAAAATTATTTTAATTTTATATTTATTTTGATCTATTATAACACACACATTATAAACAAAATCAAATTGGATAAATTACAATACTATACTACTTTATTATATTAAAATTTATTGTTTCCAATATAATATATAAATATTTTTAAATTATGTTTAATCAATATGTAAAGACAATAAATTTGTATTAATAAAAAAATTTATAATACTTATGAAAAAGAATGAAATACACGAAAGAGTAATCAAAATAATGTTTATTAAAATAACCATATATACAATAAAAATAGATATTTTCAGAATTAATTAAACTTCATTTTATACATTGCCAATACAAGTATTATATTCAAAAATTTTATTAATTGTAAAAATAATAAATAAATAATTCAGGAAAAAGATGGATGATGAAGAAAATACAGTATAAGTACGTCACTATTAACAGTAATAATAATTCTAACCTCAAACCAAAACTGATATGACCGAAAAATAATGATACTAAATTTATATATATATTCAAAAATTAATTAAATTCTAAAAATTTACTAAAATATTCGTTCTTTATAATAAAAAAAAGAAAAATTCTTACTGTTCCGACATTGTATATTCACTTTCTTGCACTTGAGTGAAAGTCAGCAATCTGTGATGGCTACGAGATATGTAGTGTAGTGAGCGTTGCGTAGGTCACATCGATTTAATTTCGATATATTAATCTTATATCGAAATCTCGAATTGAATGTAATATCATAACAAATATAACATGTGTTATTTTTGTTATAGTAATTTTGAATGTACTATAAAATAATATATAAATATAAAATAAAACATATTAAATAAAATATTAATATTATTAATTAAATTATTAATTAAATTATTAATATTAATCGAATATAGATGTTATATTAATTTGTATATTTATGTTTGAATTTACACAAGTATAAATATATATAATGCTTAAATTTGTAATATACTTCAATTTATAGTATATAAATAAATCTATATCAATATTTAATATATATGCATATATGTATATTGAATTATATTATATAAATTAATATAATATAAATAAATAAGAATATTTAGATTCAATTTAAAAAAAAAAATGATTTACAATATGAGCCTATTCTTTCATTTTATAAATAGTGATATATTATCACATTTACATAAATATAATTTAAAGTTAATAAGAAAATTACACAATAAACCTATAATTTTAGGAATAGAATCTAGTTGTGATGATACAGCTTTTGGAATTATTGATAGCAATGGAAATATTTTAGGCGAATCAATTAATTCTCAATATTTAACTCATTTGAAGTAATTTAAAATTATTATTAATAGTTTCTTATATAATGTGTAATAAAATTATATATAATTTGATAACTTTTATATATTTTAGTTTTGGAGGAATAATTCCTACAATTGCAAGATCATTGCATGTAAATAATATTACAAAAAGTTGTGAAAATGCATTGAGAACTGCAAATCTAAGAATAAAAGATATTGATGCAATAGCTACAACTGTAAAACCTGGTCTTCCTATGTCACTTAATATTGGAACACAATTTGGGAAATATTTAGCAAAAATTGGAAAAAAACCATTATACCAATACATCATATGGAAGCTCATGCTTTAACAGTAAGAATAAATAAAAAGGTATGAAATACAATACAATTATAAAAAATTATATAAAATCTAAATATTTTACTAAAAAAAAGTTAACAAGAAAAATGACATAATTTTTATATTATAGATTGATTTTCCATATCTTGCTTTATTAGTTTCCGGAGGCCACTGTTTATTAACAATTGTTGAAAATGTAAATAAATTTTATTTACTTGGTACTAGTATAAATAATGCACCTGGTGATATTTTTGAAAAGGTAAAGTACATAACATAATTAAACATAATCTCTATTTTTAATTATATATTATTTTTTATATATCAAATATATATTTATAGGTTGCACGAAGATTAAAATTAAAAAATATTCCAGAATTTAGTACATTAAATGGAGGCCAAGCTATAGAAATTGCAGCAAGTAAAGCTTCAAATATTAATCAGTTTTTTTTTCCATCTATAATGACACAATTTCGAAATTGTAATTTTAGTTTTTCTGGATATATAAATCTTTGTAATAAGTACATTAAATTAGAAGAAGAAAAATATAATATAGTTGCAGATATGATAATTCCTGATGTATATAATTTTTGTGCAGCATTTCAATTAGCTTTAGTAACACACATTTGTCATAGAACACAAAGAGCAATGGAATTTATTAATAAAATGTCATTATTTCCTGAAAATAACGCACATTGGTATGCTAAAAATTAAAAATATTAATATAATTTTCAGTTTTAATTTAATGTATTATTTTTTTTTTTTATTTAATAGGTCATTTCAGGAGGAGTTGCATGTAATAATTTTCTAGCTAAAGCATTGAATATTGTGAGTACAGAATTAGGTTATACTTTTATAAGAACTCCTTCTAAATTATGTACTGATAATGGAATAATGATAGCATGGAATGGAGTAGAAAAATGGATTCAAGATATAGATGTTATTAGAGATATAAATGAAATTGAAAAAATTGAAATACAAAAAGTAGCCATACTTGGAGAAAATTGGACTAAAAAAGTAGAAGAAGCAAATTTAAAATGTAAATGGATAAAAATAAAGAAAAAACTTTTTTAAATTATTTAAAAAAATAATATGAAATATACTTATTGTTATATTGAAATATACTTAATGATATAATCTACAAAGTTTTTACTTTTTTAAATTATTTATTTATTGATATAAATTATACAAATGTTGGCGCATATCTCTCTGTTTGTTGTTTTAATTTTGTACATAAATTATCTTCATTTGAATTAAGATTTCTAAGAGAAATTGTTTTTTCTTCATATTCATCAATAATTTGTCTAATTTTTATTTTTATTTTCTGTATTTCATTTGCATCTTTTAAAATCAAAGAAGTTGTTAAAACATCATCAAATTGCAATGTTTTTGTTGGCTGTATTGATTTATCAAATTCTGAAAGGAATTTTGATAGATTATTTAATTTTGGTTTGATTTCATTATAGATTTCATCTGCTCTCTTTGTATCCATTTTATTTATTATAATCATTGCAGGTTTATCTAATAAATCAGGTTTATAAAGTTCTATTTCTTTATTTAATAAGAGAATGGTTTCTAAGCAAGATCTATGTTTATGCTTTATAGAAATTTGACATCCTTGAATATCTACAATAAATAACAATAATTTTGTTCTTTCTACATGTTTTAAAAATTTATGACCCATTCCTTTATTAATATGAGCACCTTCTATTAAACCTGGTAAATCCGCAATAGAAATCTGTCTATAGTCTTTATATTTTACAATGCCTATTTGTGGTTTTATTGTTGTGACTAAAAAAAACCATATATTAGAAATAAAACTATATATATATGTAAAATAATATATTTTTAAAAATTACATGGATAATTAGCAATCTTTGGTTTTGCTTTTGAAATTGCATTTAAAAATGTACTCTTCCCTGCATTTGGAAAACCTATTAAACCAACATCAGCAAGTAACTGAAGATCAAGAATTATAGTGCGACTTTCACCTTTAAGTCCACAATATCCTGTTAATTCACAACCTCCTATTCCACCTTTAGCTATCATTAATTTTGTATCTTGTGAATTTATTTCTCCTATATTTTCATAAAACAATCTTGAATAATTAATGTTTCTCAATAAAATAAAAGTAATTATATTATGTATTACCAAGTTTGATACGATTTTCATCATAAACAGTAATACCAATTGGTACACTTATATTTAAATCTTCTCCAGGTATTCCAATAAGACCTTTTTTAGAACTTTCACTTCCTCTTCCTGCTTTTAATTTCATATTGCTTAATTTATACTTAACATTTTTTAATGTTAATTTTTTTTCTGGAATGAGATAAACATTTCCTCCCGGTCCACCTAATCCACCATAAGAAGGTAATCCTGAACCACCTGTACCTCCAGTTACATGAATACGCAAACTATCAATTAAACCTTGTCGATTATATTTCCTTGTGTAATTGTGTAACTAAAGAATTAACCCATAAAATAATATATTTTATTATTATATTAATTAAATCAAAGAAAATTAAATATATATTCAAATTATTTTTACCGTATAACCTAAAACGCGTGTTAATATAACCATTTTTTCTTGTTACTACATCGAATTTAGAAATGAATGTATATCAAAATATAAATTATTGATATTTATAATAATTAAATTTAATTATAATATTAATTTACTTTGATAATATCGTAATTTATAAAATATATAAGAAAACATTCACAAGTAATGTATGAACAATTCAGCAGATGGCATTAATAAATTCATATATTTAGATGATTACGTTTGAAAGTGCAAAGAAATTGTTTTTAAATTTAATAAGTTAAAGTGAAATTTCAATGGAGACTATTAAAAAATATATCAAATGAAGATATTACAATTATCTTTTCAATATCTTAATAAATCAATTTTATATATTTAAAGTAAGTATACATTTTATTATATTTCAAATTTTTTATATTAGATTTTATATTATAATTATTTAAATCATATTTCTTATTTTTTATAATATAATGCAATAAATTTATAAAATACAATATTTTTCTTTATTAGAAAAAGATAATATTATTAAAGTACTATAAACATATCATTGTATAAGTCACTGTAAAATAGAACAAACTATCTTTAATACATACAACTGATTTTAAAATTGAATGTTATTTTTACATAATCAATGTCATTAGAAAACATTATTAAAATTAATTGAAAATTAATAATGATTTATCAGTTTGTTATTAGCTTGTTATTATTTGTTATATATTTTGTATATATTTTAGTTTGAAAATTATAATACATAAATGAAAAAAATTATAAATGGGTAATTATAAATGGGTAAAAAAATGATAAATTATTAAATATTAAATATTTTTATCAAATTTGTATTGTAACATCATAAATATGATGATTTTAAAGAGTGCAACTAAAAATTTAAAAAAAAAAGAACATCTTCGGAAAATATTTATGAATTATTACAAGTCCGATAGAGAGTCTGCTGGCAGGATATGCTATCAGGTCAAGTGAAATCAATTGCGAAGTATAGCAGGAATTAATTGATGCAGAAACACAGAAGAGAAGAAGAGTCGAAGGGGAAGAAGAGGCGATGCATTAACGTAGTTGTGTTCGTTGTTAGAGGAAGTCAGAGGCTCGTCTAACGACGTATGCGTTAAAATTAAATCCAGCCGGAGGCCGACGGCTACGTCTTGCCGACGGCGACGACGACGACGACGTTGCGATGAGATGCGTCCTCTAGCTCAGTCTCAAGAGCACACCCTGGCTGTACGGATGTTCTGATCTTCGATATTTTTTTCCTTGTATTTTCGTGCTTTTATTATCGATTTCATCGATAGTACGTTCAATACATTCATTTATAATTGGAGGCATAATAAGTGCAGATACATTCATTGAGAAAGAACGAATTTTTGCTGAACTATTTTCTTCATTCTATTTCTTCTATTACTTCTACTTCTCTTGAGCACGAGGTAATTAAAAAATGTCATATCTTTCTTATGGCAGCTTTTAGATTCCTCGTTGACATCAATGGACCATGTCCTGATTTTTCATGGTCAATTGGCTCAAATTAATATATAATATATAATTTAAATTAATATATATTTTATTTTATTTAATAAAAATAATTTTATTTTTTACACGTGAAATTTTTAAATAATAGTTCACTGATCGAATGTATAAATATTACATGTAATAGTTGTATAATACATACAAGAATTTTTGCTGATTCATGTCGAATGATTTATGAAAAATGTCGACGTACTCATTAAAATATAGTTAATCTTTTGATGTGAAGACAAAGCTTTATTCATATTTTTTTATTCAAGAATTAATAGAGAATAGAGTTCAAGTTAATAATTACATTATTTTAATTTTATTTCAAATCAAATTCTATGCGATAATTTGTAAATAACTTTTAAATAAATAATTTCGAATTCTAATATCTAATCTATCTAATAAGTTGAATAAGATACATGTGAAAGTTAATAAAATGAATAATATAAAAATTACAATATTTTCTAATAATTTTCTTGAATGATCGTATAATAAAATTTTGTATAGGAGTGGGGAGTGTGTCATCGAGTTACTAGCCTTGATTCTTCGCCAAATAATTGATAGGGAAAGCATAGTGTTGTCACATTCTCGCGCTAATTTTACGTACAATACTTACGACGCACAATTGACAATTTTCATTATTTTAATGACGCATCTAATTTCATATTTAATATTTAATAAAAAAATTCTAGTGTTTCATTCTAATTATAAAATTATATATAAAAATTTATATTTTTCTTTTATTTTCAATAATAATTTTTATTTAAAGAAAAGAAATTATTTTATATTTATATTTATATTTTGATAAATTAAATAATTGCTTCATTTAAATTCAGTTTTAATTAATTCATTAAGAATAGAGAAATGTTTCAAAAAATTTTTTTTCTTTTTTTCTTTAAAGTGAAAATTATATTTGTGTTTTGATTCTACATTAAAAAAATTAAAGAATTTGTTCGTTTTTTCAATTTGCTTATTTCAAGGCATATGTTTTTTGGTGTTATAAGGGAAGATGGATCGAGATGATGAAGATTTTGGAGAGGGTTTCATCGCAGAATCTCATCCACTTAGGCCAACGCATCTTTCTGTTCCTCTCAGTGGTCGACCAGATTCTAGAGCACCTAGTATCAGTAGCAGTGTTAGTGATTTGGATGTTCCAATTTATACTCGAGAAACCACTATACCTGTCTCTGCTGGAAAAGTAAGTAAATTTTTTCACAAATCTTTCAAATTATTAAAATATTTATTAAAATATTTTCAAATATTTTGAAATATTATTAATATATTTTTATTGTATTAAATTTATTTTTGAATATTTTATGTATTATTCGTAAATTGCAATTAATAAATGCGTGAAAATTGCAATAATAAACCATTATTTGTTATTAAATATTAATATTATAATATAACAATTTAATATAAAT